ATTTCAAACGTGTTTAATATCTTCTGTATTTTGGTTTATACCCAATAAAATTTAATGATTCATATATTAGGTGAATTTATAGTGTTAAAGTGTTTCAACGTGTATGAAGTACAAATTTATAATAATATTATAAATATAACACAGTTCAAATTGTTCAATGTAGATAGAAGTACGTAAAGTAACACGAAAAGTATTGATGTAACCATGACAACTAAACTGAATGTTGTCCAGGGATCTTTAAATGTGTATATTTAGATACCTACAAGTAATGTTGTGCAAATAACAGAAAATCGATTGAGCTGATATTTCGGGTACGCGCGCACGCGTACCCAACTGTTACGCATCGGAGAGAGCTTTATCTTCCTCGCATTTTTGAGAGCCACAATACTGTAAAAATAATATGTAGGTTATATATTTTTTTTTATTCAGTATTCTTGGTTTGAAAGTGTATTTGTAAAAATGAATAATAATCACGCCCACTCATGAATAGAAAATTATTACAATAGGCATAGAATGTATTATTTATTATTACCTATACAATTTCACTGTCCAGATGATATGTAAGCTCAGCTAGTTTAACGACGCTTACTTGAATTGTATTGACATGAAGTTTACTGTTATTTGAGATGAGTYAACCCTTGATTAAMATATTTTTACTAGCATCAATTTACTTTTATTTTGACACTACAGTCAGCTCTTCCTGTAGGTACTTAATTTAAAGCTATTCAAAAATGAAATTACATATAACACTATATAATATACCCTAGAAATTTTTTTTCATACTTATCTAAATTAATAATTAAGACTCTATAATTATACTGTGGATGATTGTTTTGTTGTTTTTAAAAAATTATAACCGTACAGATTTAACATTAAACCCTTTATTGACGGTAATATAGTTTATCWAAATATAAGTATAGGTACGTTGAATTTACCGAAAACCAAACATTTATTTTATGATTAATTGTTATCCCATCGATTTTTAACTACGGGACCTGTTAAGTTGTATCATTGTTAACAAAATACGTAACAGATAAACTAAGTTATTACATAAAGCATAACATACATAAGTTGTAATGTTCATGGGCATCCTGATTTAATTTAGTAAAACTATACATACGATATCAACATACTATATTATAGCAAACATCTGTAGGTACTGCTCTTGATGTCTACGATCACAATATTATAATGATATATTATGAGTAGTAATGGCCTTTTCGAATA